AGTGCTGTGTTGTGTGTGTTTAAGTGTTGTGGTTGAGGTGTCGTATGGCTTGATGGTAAAAACAGTCTTATGATTTAACCTACATGAAGCACATCTTTCTGGCAGAGACTCATCTTTAATCGAAACACTCGACTCACATTTAAAATTCTATTTTCATTTGAAAAGATTTGAATTTTAAAAAGTATTTAAAGTATTTCCTGTTGTCATTTAACGACTCTTTGAGAGCGTCTCCACCTGTCAGGTCTCTGATGTAGCTCATTGGAAGCAAACCGTGCACTTGTCATAAATCACTTTGACGGTTTGTAAAATGACGACAGCGTTCATGCTGCTGTCTCGCTCCCTTCAGGTTTTGAAAACAAGCACAGAGGCTCTGGTGGACGTGAACATCAATAAGAACCTGGTGGGTTCAGCCATGGCAGGAAGCATCGGAGGCTTTAATGCACATTCAGCCAACCTGGTCACAGCCATCTACATAGCATGTGGACAGGTAAATGACCTGTGAGGAAATGCTGTGCAGCAGAGTTATTCCCATGTGTGTTAATGTGTGTGTGTGTGCATGCAGGACCCAGCTCAGTCAGTGGGCAGCAGTAACTGCATCACCCTCATGGAGCCGTCAGGCCCAGCAGGAGACGACCTGCACATCTGCTGCACCATGCCATCTATAGAGCTGGGCACTGTGGGAGGAGGAACCAACCTGCCTCCACAACAGGCCTGTCTGCAGGTACAAGCACATCAAGCATGTCAAGCAACCGAAGATCAACAGCTAACACTGGGCAGTCCTTTTCATTTTGAAGTGGTTACACAACTGTTAGATGTTTAGGATCATGTAATATTGTTCAGTTAGCGGTGTCAGTAATGACAATGACGAGAAAGACTGATGGATGTGTGTGAAGAGCTCAGCAGGAGGGAAGCCTGCAGAGTGAGCACAAAGTAAGAGGCTGTAAGAACTGTCAGTCATGTGACAGTAGATCAGTGAGCTGTCCTGAGTCACGTGAAGAGAGTTTAGCAGGCTGCTAGCTAAAGTGACGGGAGAGAAACCCCTGCAATCAGTGACAAAGCAAACCCGTTTACAGTTGATCGTCTGCAGCAGTGAAAACAATGATGTTGCACTGAAGCAGGCGTAGCTTCCTCAACAATCCTTTTAAAGCTCTTTTTAAAAAGTTTTTATTTCTGCTTCCCTCCCAGTTCATGTCTGTCTGACTTGGACGATTACAAATCAGTGACACGTCCTCGAGCACTTTTTATTAAACACACACAGTGAACACATTTACTTTATGCAGATGTTAAATGTCCAGCAGTGTCCATAAAAATAAAACATTTTGGATTTCAGCTTGGACCGTGTCTCCATGACGACTGTTTTTAGTTTGCACAGTTGTGTTGTTGTACCTGTGCGTCTGCAGTGCGTCACAACTAGGGTTGCCACAAACGATTATTTTGATAGTCGACTAATCA